TTTTTTTTTTTGCTTTCCTTTTCCCTTGTCTTTTTTTTTTTTTTTTTTTTTTTCCCCCCCGACTCCTAGGCTTCCGCTAAGTGGACGACTCGCCGCCAATCATCATTACCCAGCAAGCAATAGCCATCATTTCAACATCTCGGTTAACTATAGACCCGATATTGTCCGGCTATGTGTAACCCAGTTCTAGCCCAAATAACCTTGAATTTGGTTTCATGTCGTTTTTTGGCAAAATAACTTGTGAGATGATATTCCATCATGTAAGCAAAGTCAACAGCGTTTACAGGGTGTTTGGTTTCATTTCTTTGACATGTTCAATACGTAGCCTGTGTGTAGCCACGATTTAGCTTGTAGTCCGAGCGGCTATCTGTAGCCCACTTATAGTCAAACCTGATTCACTGTAGTTTTTGGTCAGACAGCGTATGAGATGGTTGATATCCCATCATGTTCCCAGTGTCAATAATATCTACAAAGATATAAGTGTAATTTCATGACATGGTCTATATGTAGCCACGATTTAGCTCTAAATTGGACGGGCTACGAGTAGTCTGCTTTTAGCCCACCTGGCGAAATCGAGGCAATCTGTGGTCTAATTTTTACGGCTTGGCTATTCACCTTATTCTGCCCCGCCCACTTTTAATACTTCGCTTTTCCGCATTTTGTCATCCGACTTCTGCTAAACTGATACGGCACATGCGGTAACTAGTTCAGTAGTTGTAAGATTGTTTATAGCTAGCTATAACTGTGGCGAAATGACAAAGAACGTTAATGCCGTAAATGTTCTAAATTGGGAGCACGGTGAAAACTTCTTACAACGATCAGACGGTCTCAAATTGTCCCATCCATCGTCACTGTTAACGTGGGTAGACGATATGAAGAAGTGGCCAGAGGTAACCTATGGGGACATATTTAACTTCTTCGTCCTGTCAGAAGGAGTTGATGGAGCAGCAATTAAAAATGATAAAAGTACCGAGGCCTACCAATATTTACATAGTGGGAAAGTGGGTCGTGTACTGTTACACAGGGAGGGTGATTTCGTAAATTATAAGCCGACCTCATACGTCATCCTCCCGAGCTGCTTCTGTTTACAACAGTGAGCGCAAGCTAGATTCAAGTGATTATTACGTTTTGAATATGGATCTTTTTCTTACAAAAATGCATCGATTCGCTACAGAAGGCCTTTGTTCACCCCCCGGAGCCGTGTGAGACACCTTTTTTATGGATGGGCGTTTTTTATTTCACTTCTTTTGGACTGAAGCACTGCAACACCCGCTGACTGCAATGATAGAGCTTGGCCTCGGGGGTGAGTAAAACACAGCCTAATTTTCATTTTTGGGTGAACTAACCCTTTAATGTGAAATGTGTTGTTTTTTTTATACAAAATTCAGCTTTGAAATCACATAAATTACGTTTTAAAATGCATTCAAATAGAAAACAGTTATATTAAATAGTAAAAATATTTCAAAAATGTTACCATTTTTGCTGTATTTTGGATCAAATAAATGCAGGCTTGGTGAGCAGAAGAGACTTATTTAAAGAAACATTAAAAATCTTACGTTCAAAAACTTGGCTGGTAGTGTATATCTTTAAAAATCACTTTAAAAAGTGATTAAACACGCACACAAGAACTAGACACTTCAACATACAC